GTAGGGTGACCAGGCGCACCCCAAGAAACCCACACCCGACCTTACGGAAGCTTTCGGAGGCTTTTAAAATGTCACGATCCTGCCTCCGTTCCGACGAATTCTTCCTCCCGCGTTATATAAGCATTCGTCTATCAGTTCCCATTTTTAGTCCGATCACGTGGCACGGTTGTTCATGTCAAATACTTCCAATCCGTTTTGTCCGTGCGCCAGCTTGACCTAGTTTAGTCGATTGGTCTATTCTCTTGATCGTTCATTAGACGGTTAACCTGGTTCCGATCAGCACGCTCTCTTGTGTGTTCTAATTTCTTGTGTTGGGTACGGGCCCTTAAAAGTACTGTGCATAGCCTCGCTGTTGGCATTCGGGCTTAACACCCAGTCTTCTTTCAGTTTTTGCTGTTGGTTTGCTTTATAACCTCCACGATGGTGTGTGGCGATAGCAGCCGTAAGCAGACATCAAATTAGACTACCATTTACAGATTCCTCCGGAAGTACTTTATCCATCATAGATTATGGTTTGCTTCATGCTGTCCTGATCTGCGAGTAGGCAATTGGTTTTTAGTGATCAGACAACTGTGTGATGTGGTTGAATCAAGGGTACTCACTCTACTCGACCCGGTGAAGTTTCACATGTCCCATTACTTATTCTTTTCTCTAAAAGAGGCTGACCACCTAGCGGCCATGAAATTTACTGCAACATAACACCCAGCTGTTGAAAGGTGAACTTTTTCCCACTTCCTAGCCTCTTTTTACTGGTGATCAGAAATTATCTTGTTCAGATGGTTCATTCTAATTATACTACTTTTCAGTGGTTTTGTAGCACTACCTGCTTCGGCTTACGCAACGCGGCAGCGTTCCGGCCACGTGTAAAATATTATCTGATTTCATTTTTGTGATGATCGTTGTACGATAATTGGTTTGGCACACAGGTTGAACTCAGACACTTGTGAAATATAATGTTATCATGCAACGCCACAGATTGTTATCAAAGATGTGTAAGGACCTAAAATTAAAAAGGCACTATTTATCGTGATGACCGCATTTCCCATTCAATTTGTATTCACCTCAAACATCACACACACACACACACACGTCAAGGTAGGATTCCAAGACCACAAAAAATACTGGTTACAAAAGTTGCAGAATATATACATCCACTAATTGGGTTCTAATGATTCGGTTGTTCACCATCGAAGGTCTACTACCCAATAGCAACAAAATACAATTGTGAATTTCTTCCACTGTTCGACTTATAGACGCTTGTGTGTTGTGTAGAACGAGTAGTATGACTGAGCTATGCAGAATCCACAGCTCAGCTCGTCATTCAAATACTCCAACTTCCACTCTCAAAACAGTTCGTTAGCGTTGCTAATCCATCGCCCTTTTCAGGGTTTGAACCCCGTACCTATTATATGGAACGCATGTCCATGATCAAACCAGCTCACACCAGTGCTTATAGGGGACATTATCTGTAGTCACGGCTTTATCGGGCTCATGTGAACGGGTAGTTAAACTGTGCATTGCAATCTTTGTGCTCTGCTTCGTTGGACCAACATTTCCCGATCGTGATGTTTACAAAGCTTAACTATAAAACCCCTAGTGTACACATTTTTGCACTTCCTCCAATTTTAGTATACGGTTTTGTAATAATCGAATAGGAACCGGAATTGAACAGCGCGAACTTGAACTCGGACTGAAA